ACAAAATACTCTAGGCCCGAAACATCAGCCTCTCTGCTCCTATGATGCTGCTTGACCTGCTGTGTTCATCCAGCCCTGCACCTTGCTGTCTCGGATTCACCAGCATCTGCAGTTCCTACTATCTCTAACAAAATACAAATTTTTTTTTTCTCGATAAACCGGTGCAGTTCCAGTAAAGTTCATCTTTGAAAGCCCATTGTCATTCATAGCGTTTGAAGAGGGATAGATTGAATCTTCATCACAAATATACACTCTAACTGCATTGAATGCACGTTAAGTAAGGGCATTTTTAAAGTTATGATCAAGGTATATAAATAGATCAAGTTGTTACATTGTTACAATGACCATATATGGACTGGATATTGAGTACAGACATGGAAGGAAACTTTTGAAGTTATCAGTGACTGAGGAAGACAAAAATAATAAACAGAAGATTCTGGCAAAGCTCAGCAGGTCTGGCAGCATCTGTGACGAGAAATCAGAGTTAACGTTTCAGGCCTGGTACACTTCCTCAGTTCTGAACAAAGGCCACCGGATCTGGGAGGCATTGGCTTTGTGGTATTATCACTAGACTGTTAATCCAGAGACCAGACAACATTCTGGGGACCGAGTTCGAATACTGCCACAGCAGATGGTGGAATTTGAATTCAATAAACATCTGGAATTAAGAATCTAATGATGACAATAAATCCATTGTCTGTTGTCAGGAAAAAAAAAACATCTGGTTCACTCATGTCCTTGAGGGAAGGAAACTGCCATCCTTACCTTGTCTGGCCTACATGTGACTCCAGACCCACAATAATGTGGTTGACTCTGAACTGCCCTCTGGGCAATTCGGGACAGGCAATAAATGCGAGCCTAGTCAGCAACACCCTCATACTGTGAATGAATAAAGAATAAAACTTTTGAGAAGAGGTTATTCTGAGGCAAAAGGGAGCATTGCACAAACAACAACTGCAAGAAGATTTGTTAGAGACAGTTTGAAGTTTTGGAACAAACATTGAACAGGATAGTAAACTCCTGCAATAACAAACAGATGAACTAATGGGATTATGGTTCATATAAGTATGACAGGATCAAACACGTTCATTAAATTACAGTCGTAATTGATTCCAAACTCATTAATGAAAGGATGTTGTCTCTTTAGGTGAACAGAGTTAGTTAGGGCAAGGGGTGTGAATCATCCCAAAAGACAGTCAGCCTAGACAGTCATGAAAACAGCAGATAACACCATTTTGCAGCGATTAGTTGTTTCTTTGAAATTATTCACAGTATTAAGAAATAGGTTCTAGTTAAAGATTCTTCAGATTCATATGTTGAAATCTATAAATATACGTACATAATAGAATACAAAGATCACTAAAAGCATTAAGGAAAAGATTCAAATAGAGAATACAGAAGTTAGTTAGTCTCTGGAGGCTTTCCTATATCACTGAAGGAATGCTTAGTAAACCTTGTTAAGGTGAATAATTAGTTCATGCCATTGCATAGTTACACCAACCATATGTGAAGTAGATACTGAGTACAGATATGGACGGAAACATTCACATCAGTAACTGAGCAGGACAGTATTAAACGTTTGACCAATACATGTCCCAGGCAGAGACAGAACAATTAAATAATGTGACTTTTAAGTACACACATCCTGTGCCAAAGCCTGACAGAGAATGCTTACTGAGTGCACGTGTTCTCTATCTCTCTCTCTCTCTCTGTCTCTCTCTCGCACGCACACCCATGCGCGCGCGCACACACACACTGATTTACAATGAGTTGCAAATACATACACTCTCCCGACACATGTGCTACAACATCTAACAGCCATGAAGATCATGTACACTGCAAGCCTCAGAACGTGTAACATTCAAAGTGATTTCTCCTCATGGATTTCAGATTAGAGAGCTCGCTTTTCATGATAAGAGACAAACAGAACAGAATGTGAGCTCAGTAATTCAATCCCCATGCATTTAAATCCATGATAATTGCTGTGGTCATAAACTAAATATCATTTGTTCACTCCATCGGAAAAAACTGTTGAATTTTGTGACAGAATTCTTATGAACTGCTCCAAGAAATAAATTGAAGAGGATATTAATCGCACCTCCAAATGTCTCACCATCTCTTTGACTTGGAGAGGCAACTGAAGTATCAACTCCTTTTGTATAAACTGGAGGAATTGCATATCAGG